TTCATATTTGACTTGGTCCAATATGGGTTCCACTTAAATGAATGCTGGAATAATATATATTTGTTATAATTATATAATATATATAATATATATCTGTAATATAATATATATCTGTAATATAATATATATAATATCTGTAATATAATATATATAATATCTGTAATTCCACAGAAGCTGCAGATCTCACCCTGAGTGCATTCATTATGGGTATATTGATATCCACAAGTACTTTTCAGCAAATACTATATACTTTAATATACAGAAATTATATTAAACAATAATTAGAATCATATATTTTAAAAAACAATTTCTTGTTTATATAAGCCAGAAATTTAACACATTGGTATTTTTTATTGATGTCCAGGAAAATAGGGGCAAAAAGTACTAATGCTACCAGGAGGTAGTTTTTTTATTCCTAGAGGGTTTTTTGATTTTATACAGTGACAGAAAAAGACATTTAGAAATTCCCACTTAACAAATCTGACCTGAATGATTTGAAGTCCTGCTGTGAATCTATTTCTCCTGCCAGGACAACATATTTAATAAATAAATTTGCAACATATTTAATAAATAAATTTGCTGCAGTGCATGGAGCTGTTCTGGGCGAGGATAAATCTGAAGGAATTTAAAGAGCACTCATGGATAAAGTATCTTCCTTTTTTTGCACAGATTTCAAGTTGAATAATTTAATAGGGATGTTATTCAGCCTTTCTCCATTACTGTGCCTTACCCAGCAGTTTCTAACTGAAAAATTGGTTTTTATATATTAGGAGCTTTAAACTCAGAGATAACTTTACTCTTCTGTCAATAATTTACTTTCAGCTGAATGTTTTCAACTGCACCTGATTTGATTTGCTTTTCTGTGTCATAAAAACACAGACCAACCACATAAAAATGACTGAGCAGTTTAAAAGAAAAAAAGAAAAATCGAGCACTTCCAGTATTAGATTAACAACTGAGCTATTCTGTAAAGACTGGCAAATTTTTAAAAATGCATTTACAGAACCGTAACAAACCCATGAAGAATATTTACTGTAATGCCTGAAGTACCTGTGCTTCTGCTCTGTATCTATATCCTAAATATAATATCTTAAAATATCCTTTGAATATTTTAATGGTTTCAAGACCTGCACTGTTCACTGAAAGAATGACTGGATTATGGTTTTATAATATAGAATATGAATTCTATATATTCTTTGTACATATTTTATATATATATCTGTTCTATAACATGTTCTATATCAAATATATAATATATGCTATAAAATATAAAAGAAATAGTAATAATAATAAACCAGCCTATTGCAACATATAATTTTTGATCTCTTTTACAATTGCTTGTCCACTGATTTGTGGAGATGAGCACAACATAAGTGAATTTTTTTTCTTGAACCCATACATCTGCAAAATCCTCCTTGTCCTTTTGCCTTTGTCCAAATTTGGTGGTGTCTCCTTTTGTCATTTAAGAGGAAATAGTTTATTTACATTTGAGGCAAGATATTTGGGTTATATCTATAAAATCCTGTTATTTTTCCTTGTAGGTTTGGCTGCTCCTTGCTGCAGGCAGGATGGTGACAGTGGGACACAGGAGAAGGCTGAGCCATCATTGGAAGGAGCCAAGGAACGAATTAGGGACCCTCATTGCCAGGACAAGGTGGCATGTGTGACACTGTGATGGACAATTCTGTCACCTGTATCCCTGTGTCTCCATGGATCCAGGGATCATGATATTTCAGAGAGGGACAGAAACACTTTTCCATTAATTTTCCCAATTATTTTCCTATTCATTTTCAAATTGGGAACATTGCGCCGTGACAGAACTTGGCATCCCTGACCCTTGGCTGGCATCATCACTGTGTCTCAGCTAAGAAGCTGCAGGAATTCTGGTATCAGGGAATTGGGATAATTTTCTCAGCATTTTTCCATTGGTGTTTCTGTTTTGTGCTTATTTATGCTCTGGGAAAAAAAAAGTCTGCAAAATGTGAATCTATTTTTATCTATCAGCTCATAATTGTGAAACCTGCTGCTAAAATCTCTCCCAGTTTTACTGTCTAAAGCACTCTATTGATGATTATAGAAATTACTGTTATTTTTTCATAATTTCTACTGGTAAACTGCCCAGATCTGTGTTTCAACAGGCCAGACAACATCTTTGTCACTGTCCTCTCCTGTTTTCACTGCACACAGGTGATGGAAAGTCTGGGTGGCTTTTGGGTTGTTATTTTTGGGGTAGGTTTTTTTTTTGTTTTGTTTGTGTTTTGTTTTATTTTGTTTTCTCCTAAATACAAAGGAAAAGTGAAGACCAATTGGGGAATTCAGACGTTGAGCAAATTCTTTGCTGTGGGTGAGCAGAGAGCCAAGGAATAAATCCCTGTCCTTTGTGCTTGTGTTGTTGGAGTTGGGATAAGTGACTGAAATCCAGCAAGACAAGGAGGTGCTGTCCTGGGCAGGGGTTTCAGACACTGTGAGGATGTCCTGAGTGTGGAGAAGAAGGAGCAGGAGGGGACTGGGCAGGGTTATCCCGAGGCTGCTCACCTTCCTGAGGGAGAGGAGGGCTGGGCTGTGCAGCCTGGATTTGCTGGAATATATAATATGGGAATTGCTGAGCAAGGTGTGGGCAGTGAGGTCAGGACACCTCAAGAGTGAGAAAGGGAGCTGGGATTTCAAAAGCAGCTGCAGGCAGAGGGAAAGCCCCTGTTTTTTTAAAAAGAAACCTTTGCTCATGGGAAGTTTCAAAGGGGTTTTCTTACAGCTGTTATAAAAAATGTACGTGCCTTTCTGAGGCAAAGCTGTGCTCGCTACTTGCAGGGCAGGAAAAGGATGGTTTTAGTTAATCTGAGCTCTTCCAGAGGATAAAGTGTGGTGTGTGGGGGTCAGAGATGCTCAGAGTCCCCTCCCTGCTGCCCCTGGGGTGGGATCTGTGGTGCCCCCACAGCTGGCTGGCCTGAGAGCTTGGGTGAATGTCACAGCCTGGGAAAGCTGGCTCAGCATGACCCAGTGCCAGCTTTATTTATCCACTGCACCATTTAGGGGAAGCACCAACAGCTGGGCCTGAGACCAAGCCCTACAGAAAATTCAGTATTAGAGAGGAAAGCAGCAGCAGCACCTGTGGCTGGGAGGGGAGGGAGGGGAAGGCCAGAGTGACGCTGCTGTGCCACTGTGATGCTTTCACCCACAAGCTCATGCCAAGACCGTGTTAGCCCCAGCCCTGGGGCCTCTGGACCACCTTCCCCTGGCCCTCCCAGTAGCTGGCACAGGGCTGGTGCCTGTGTGGGAGCAGATGTGGGGCTGGGGGTGCATTTAAGAGTGAGTGCTCACTGCCTGTGCCCGGCAGGATGCCAAACTTCCAGCTCTGCCTTGGCACCCTGGGCAGCAGCTGAGCCTGGCTGCCATCCCTGGGGAGGCCTTTCCTACATCTGGCATCCCTCAAGGCTCAGCACCCATGGGCATCACTCGGGCATGCAGGGGTGTCACACAGGGCTCAGGGCACAGGGGTGTCACTCAGGGGTGTCACACAGGGGTGTCACACAGGGCTCAGGGCGCAGGGGTGTCACACAGGGGTGTCACACAGGGCACAGGGCACAGGGGTGTCACACAGGGGAGTCACACAGGGGTGTCACACAGGGCTCAGGGCACACGGGTGTCACACAGGGTGTCACACAGGGGTGTCACACTGGGCTCAGGGCTCAGGAGTGTCACACAGGGCTCAGGGCACAGGGGTGTCACACAGGGGTGTCACACAGGGGTGTCACACAGGGCTCAGGGCACAGGGGTGTCACACAGGGCACAGGGCTCAGGGGTGTCACACAGGGGTGTCGCACAGGGTTCAGGGCACAAGGGTGTCACACAGGGGTGTCACACAGGGTTCAGGGCACAGGCGTGTCACACAGGGCACAGGGCACAAGGGTGTCACACAGGGGTGTCACATCACACAGGGCACAGGGCTCAGGGGTGTCGCACAGGGGTGTCACACAGGGCTCAGGGCACAGGGGTGTCACACAGGGTTCAGGGCACAGGGGTGTCACACGGGGTGTCACACAGGGCTCAGGGCACAGGGGTGTCACACAGGGGTGCCGTCTGGGGCTCAGCACCCCCAGGCATCCCTCAGGGCAGCTCCCACTGGCCATGCTGGGCTCAGGGCCAGCCCCTGGGGGCCTCTGTTTGCTCTCAGAGGTGGTGCTGACCTTCAGGCTGTGCCAAGTGTTTGGCCTTGTGTGCATGGCTTTGTCTGGTTTTCCTCTCCCAGCCCTGGCTGTTTGCAGTCTCTCATGGGAGAAAACACCCTCCCAGATCTGCTCATCCTGGAGATTTTGCAATGCTTTAACTCTTTCTTGGCTGGAGACCATGGTTCCTCGCTTGCCACACAAAACACACCACCCTGCAGAACAGAATAACTGAGTGATATTTTCACTTTTGGTATTGAATAAACCTCACAGGGTCTTTACATGTTGCCTCTGCCCCATCCCTGCTGGTTGCCCTCAAAGTGTTCATTACCAGATTTTTATCAATCAGTACTAACAGGAGCTAAAAAAGCACCTTTGTGCTGTCCTACAGATGGACACAGAGGAGAGCCAAGGAGCTTTGTGACAGCTTTCCAGCCCATCTGAGTTCTTTGGTATCGTGGATATTTTTGCCCCTGACGAGGGAGAGAATGATGCATCTGACTCCATCTTATCAGAAGGCTCATTAATTACTTTATTATACTATCTTATTCTATATTATATTACACTATATTACATTACATCTAAACTGAATCTGCCAAGCACTCAACTGCCCAGAATCTCATGACTGTCAGCCCACAGTCTTGACACAAACACACACACTTGGTCCTGCTAGGCCAAGGAAACAAAACTCCATCACTTTGGGTAAACAATCTCCTTTTTGCATTCTACTTTTGCACAAACACAGGCACAGCAAATAAGATAAGAATTGTGTTTTCTTTCTCTGATGTTCAGAGAACGTGAAACCCAGAAATACTCTTGGGAAGAATTGTGCCTTGCTTTTCTCTGTGAAGAGAAATGTGGCGACACTTTGGTGCCAGCCCCTTTCCCCCTGTGCAGAGCCAGCCGTGGTTTTTGCCCTGCTCAGTGACCTTTGGGAAGTGCTCAGGATGCTGCAGAATCCAGCCTGGTCCTTTTGCCAGGGTTGTGTCCAGGAGAATGTTGAAGTCATGCAGGAAAGAAATGTTTGTTTTGTGGTACAAGCCCACATCTGTCCCCTGCCAGGTCCTTTCCTGGTCATGTCCAGGCTCCTGCAGGGGAGGGTCTGTGGCTCCTCCCTGCCTGTCTGGGGCAGGGAAGGCAGTGGGATTTGCTGGGAATTACTGGGAATTACTGGGATTTACTGGGAATTACTGCCTGTGGATGCGAAGCCGCAGCCTCCGCCGCAGACCTGGGAAGAGACAAGAGACAGTGTCCGTCAGTGCTGGCCCCTCTCCCAGCTGTCCATGCCCTCCTGGGCTGTGCCCTCAGGGTGGTGGCAGCAAACTCACGGTGCAGGCGGTAGGCGGTGGGCATCAGGCTCAGCAGCAGCAGCAGGACAGCAGCAGCCAGAGGGATCCAGACCAGGGGACTGCAGGGACCTGGGGACAGGAGAGCACTCAGCACCTGGCACCACCCTGCCCCAGCAGCCTTGGGGATGGGGAAGGGAGGAAAGCAAGGCGCTCAGAGGGGTGGTGAGGATGTGACCATCACCCTGGCGTGACCTTTGAAGGATGCACCACACCACCACAGAGTGGGTAAAGTTGGAAGAGAGCACAGTGGGTCACCTGGGCCAACCTCCCTGTCAATAGGGTCATCCCAGATCACAGCGCACAGGACTGTGTCCAGGTGGCTTTTGCATATTTTTGATAAGGGATGTGATGGTGTTCACAGGGAGTCTTAGACCGGGGAAGAGACGAGGATCTGACTCCATGTTTCAGAAGGCTTGATTTATTATTTTATGATATATATTACATTAAAACTATACTAAAAGAATAGAAGAAAGGATTTCTTCAGAAGGCTGGCTAAGAATAGAATGGCAAAGAATGATAACAAAGGTTTGTGGCTTGGACTCTGTGTCCAAACCAGCTGGGCTGTGATTGGCCATTAATTACAAACATCTTACATGGATTAATCACAGATCCACCTGTTGCATTCCACAGCAGCAGATAATCAATGTTTACATTTTGTTCCTGAGGCCTCACAGCTTCTCAGAAGAAAAAATCCTAAGGAAAGGATTTTTCATGAAAGTTGTGTGAGACAAGGGAGACTCCACAACCTCTCTGGGACACCTGTTCTGGTGTTCTGTCCCTCTCACAGTGAAAAAGGCACTGCAGGGAACTTGGCTCTGAGGTCATGAGACCCTAAGCTGAAATCCATCCCTGTGGAATGCCAGGGAATCCCTCCTGGAGGCAGAAGTCTGTCCAGAGCAGTGCGTCCATGTGCACCCAGACAGCCACTCCTGCAGGGTGACCCTGTGGTGGCCCCAGGAGCTCAGCAAAGCCCTTTCCCAGGGCTGGGACAGTGCCATACCTGCCTTGCTGGCAGCTTTCCTTTTGGTTGTGCGTGGCAGAGGCTTTTTGGACACTGGTGTCTGCGTGGTCTTTGGAGGCAAAACATCAACTGGGGGAAGGAGAAAAGGAGGGTGTGAGTGTGGCAGAGACATCTCCAACAGCAGCCAAGAGAAGCAGCCTTGAACCAGCCCCCAGCAGGGACCCCCTCCCTCAGAGGGGCGAGCTTCACCTCACCTGGGCCCCTTGGGGCTCACAGAAGTCACCAAGAGGTTTTAAAAGTGTTAATCAAATAATGTACCAGGTAACAAAGGCTAATGCAGAGAAAACCCCCAAATTTTCTTCAGTGACATTTGCTGCCGAGCATCATCTCACCGGAACTGCACAAAACCATCGGTAAAACCATTTCAGCAGCAATGAAATGTTTTAAGGGATCCCTGGATTATTTTCCTTATTCACATTGCTCTAATCTTTGCTCAAGATTTGATTTTTTTTTCCTGATAAAATGAGGGTAGGATTTATTATAGTGTATCTAAATTCAAATGGAACATATTTGTTTCTGAATAAAGTTGGCCAGGAAAATATGCCAGTAATGTCATTAAATAGCTGCATGTCTGACTGCTCAAACCATATTTATTCAAAATTTTAGGTGATTGGAAACTATTTTTTAATTCAAAATTTTATCCAAAATTTTAGGTGACTGAAAACTATTTTTTTTTCCTGTTTCTATCTAAATTCTTACAGAAACTACCATTCTTTTACAGGAAAAGATGAGACATCAGGGCTCTGGGATTTATCTGGACAACTTCTCCCTTAAATGATAATAAACGTAGGGAAAAGAAACTTAAAGACAAATTGTTTTATCATGAGAACTAAAAGGAAAAAAAGAAAATATCCAGCGAAGCCTATCTTCCCAGAGCACCTGCTGCTGTTTGCTTTTTAATTGGTGTCCTTGATCGAGCTGCATCTCAAGCCTGTTTTTCATGCTTTGCACAGAGATACGTGCCCAGCTGTTAAAAAACAATTCTCCTTTATCTTAAACCAGCTTTTCTCCGAGCCTGCAAGAATCCAAAAGGGATTTCTCATCCAGCTTAAGGTACAGAGTGTATTTGCAAAAAAAACCCCAGAAAAACTGGGACACTGGGTCCGCTTTTGAGCCAGAAGTGGCATTTTGGTTAAATAAGTTATTTGTATCTTAGTTAAATAAGTTATTTGTGTCCCTAAAAGTCTGCAAAAATAGAGGCTGAATCCCACTTCAAATACATTCTTTTTTCTGCATCAACTACTGTTTTGTGGTCAAAAGGAAAATGGGCTGAAAAGAGCTTCTGTATGCCCCAGATGTCTGTAAAGCCTCTCTCCTCCCACAACACCTGCAGAAAAATGTTATTCCTGTTTGGATCTCCCCAGGGATAGTGGGCTGTGAGCTTTGAAGTAAAAAATCCCATTTCAGTATTTTTACTTTTGGAGGGTGGTCTTAAAAGTTCCATCAGATCCACCCCAGAGATTTCAGGGGTGATGCTTTCTGGCCTTAATGCTGCTCTTGTCACTTGGAGTGAGAGTAAGGAAGAATTATGGGATGTGAGCTGAGCAGGGCACACATCCAGCTTGGGGAATAAATCCCATTTCAGGTTTTTGGGGATTTTTTTGAGGGGATGTTTTTGAAAGCTGCCATAAGATCCACCCCAGAGATGTGAGGGGTGATGCTTTCTGGCCTCAATGCTGCTCTTGGCACTCGGAGTGAGGGTGAGGGAGAATTATGGCATGGAAGGAGCTGTGAGCTGAGCAGGGCACACATCCAGCCTCCCATCCAGAGTACAGCAGGGAGTGAGGAAAACACAGGGCATGGTAATACCAGGACTTGCCAAGGAAATCCTCGAGCACTGGGAGCAATGCTGTGCTCAAGGCAAGCCCACAGCAGAGCAACTGCTGATGGCAAAAGGACTATCACACAAAGCTGACCTAAATTTTAGCCATTTTCTGTATTTTCTGCAACTGCTGATGGCAAAAGGACTATCACACAAAGCTGACCTAAATTTTAGCCTTTTTCTGTATTTTCTGCTTTATCCGGTCTCAGAGACAAAACCCAGAGCCCCAACTTTGCAACTCAAAAATTGGGAAGAATCAAATCAACCCCTTTCCCAGGCTCATCACAGCTACTGGTGGCACATTTTGGAAGCCCGAGGGTGCTGCTTACCCACTGTGAGCTGTGTGCCAGTGCCCACGAGCAGCTGGGAGGCCTGGGACGTGGAGCAGTAGTAGATGCCGCTGTCTGAGGGCTGCAGGTGGCTGATGTGCAGGCTGTAGGAGCTCTGGGACCTCGCCTCATGGGCACTGAACTTGTCCTGCCTCACCTCGGGGCCATAGGTGGCTTTGCCCATTGTGTTGGAGAACAACAAGAACTGGAATTGTTGCCTCTCCTGGCTCCAGCGGTACCAGTAGACCCCGGTGTTCTCCTTCTTCAGGTCACACAGGATTTCAGTTTTATTGCTGGTTTGGGTTAGAATATGCCCTGGAGTTTGGGCTAATAGCAGAGTTGTATAAAAACCTAAGGAAAATGAGAAATATACAGTTATTCTTTAAATTTCATCATTTTTCTTTCATCCAAAATACAAATTTTATTTATGGGCTTAATAAAATCACAATAAACACACAGACCAGAGGGGTCACATGAGTGAGAAACAAGAGCATTTTTTATCAGGATGCTCCCATATTCCCTCAGAGGCCTTTTTGGGTTCCCCAGGTATTGTTTTGGCCAGGCCAAATTATACAGGCAGATTTTCTCTGTAAACACTCCTATAGGAAGGAGGCAGACTGACAGGGAGAGGGATGGAGGGATGGTTTTGAGGGTCTCCTGGGGGCTGTATGTACAGGGAAGAGCATCCCTGCCTGCCCCTGTGAATGCCCCTCTCCTGCCCTCCTTACCTTTCTCATTTTTCAGACATTTTACCCCTTTTTCAACAAATTTTAGTGCCTCTTAACTGATTTGCCATATTTTATTTCTTACAGATACAACACCAATAAACATTTCAGGGGCAGAAAAAGAGAAAAAACATGCAAAACCTCTCAAAATGAGCCAATTTGATATTAGTCTTCAGACAATAATATTTTTCAAAGGAATTTTGAGACATGGGAAAGGAGAGGGAGTGAGGGGCAGCGGTGGGGTTCAAAGCTTTGGTTTGGCATCACATCTCCCTGTTTGGGCTTTGCAGCTTTGTGGAAATTATCTGAGTCTTGTTTGGCCCAGGCAGATGTGAGGGGTGTCCTTGTGGAAAGGATAACAGGTAACTTGTGATCCTTGCTGTTCAGCAAACAGTCCTGCAAAGCTGCAGATACTCTGAGCCCGAGTGAAAAACAGCCCTGTGCAGATAAGGGCACTCCTGCTGCCCCCATCTCTTTCCCAGGCTTGTTTTGAAGCTGTGCAAAAAGCTCAATAATACACGTTTCTTGTCTTTTTCTTTTTAATTATAAAATGTTCCTTTTTCTTCAAAATCCTGAAGTTGCTTACAGCAGTTTTTTCAGCCTCATGCAGCCCTGTGGTGTGGGGATGGATGGGCACGACCCAAGAACATCTAAAGGCATTAATGTGGCACAAAGTCCTGATGTCTCCCATGTTCCCAATGGGACAGGCAGAGGAGAGGGCTCTGCTGGCTGACAGGGGTCCAGAGCCTTCCTCTGTCCCCCCACCAAGGACCCCAGTGCTGTAGAACACTAACATTGTAATGACAATATTCCAGTGTTGCACAGCAGCTGCAGCATTTCACCACATCCTCTGGCTCTGTGACAGCATTCATGTCTCTTTTGATTAAAATATATAATTTTAAGGCTTTAGAGAGGTTTAAGTTCTCTCAGATTAAGAAAGAATTAAATTTAAGTTTTAAATTTTCTCAGATTTTGTCATGGCAAACACCTGTGTTGTTTTTTAGGGGATGAAATGTGTGTGGCCACGGCACACGGGGGCTTCAGGGTCTCCTTGAGTGCCCTGAGGTCTGGCTATGCTGGGCATGGTAAACAAAACTCTCCAAGAAAAACTTATCTTTGACCTGTTGGAGACATTGCTATATAAGTCAGAAAAGATAAGAAGAGATTCTGGAAGATCTCAGCTCAGCGTCAGTGGTCAGCCAGGAGTGAGCTGGGATGGAGACAGAGAAGAAAACTCATCCTCACTCATACCTTCAACCCCAAAACCTCTCTGTTCCCTTTCCTGGTGAATATTCAGGGGCACCATGGGGAATCACAGTGCTTGGCCAGACCAGCCTGCAGCAACTTAATGATGACCCCTTTTCCTTTTGCATGGGCAAAGCAAACTCCCATTTATTGAGGCTTTCTCAGTGGGCTCCCCACCTCACAAATCTATAGGATACCAGAACCTGTAAGGCAGAATGATTTTACAGCACACAAATTCCAGCTGTGGCCCTTGGGAAGTACTCAGTCTTTGGATGATTTAGAAAATTTGGGATGTTTGTCATCTTTGTGTTACACAGGCCATGGAGAGAGGAGCTATTTTAACTTCTCCATTAGCAGCTTTATCTGCACTGAGGAGTAAAAACTCTGTGGTGTCTATACCACTATGGACAGAATATAGAGTAGAGTAGAATGGAATGGAATGGAATGGAATGGAATGGAATGGAATAGAATAGAATAGAATAGAATAGAATAGAATAGAATAGAATAGAATAGAACAGAACTATTTCAGTTGGAAGGGAACCACAGCAACAAACTGGTCCCACTTTCTGACCAGTTCAGGGCTGGCCAAAACCTAAAGCATGATCCAAAGTGATTTGAAATAGGCAATAATGCCCTGTAGATCTCTAGTGTGATGGTATATTTAATCTGCCATCATCAGCTGCTGGAGTGTGGTGGAGGAGAGGCTCCAGCAGGATTTTAGGTGCCCCCAACCCCTAGGAGATGTGTTGCTCTTACCTGGGATCTGGAGGCAGATGCAGAGATGGAGCCATGGCCGGGCCATGGTGGCAGACTCGGTTGACAGAGGGGTTTTTGTGCCAGCTGCCCCTTTCCCCTCGCTGTCACCTCTTGGTGGCAGGGCTGGCTTCCCCTCAGGAAGTCCTTGCCCCTCTCTGTGCAGGTCTCTCAGCAGCAGCTGCCAAAGAGCAGCACCTGGAGCCTCAGCCTGGCAGCTTCTTCTGTGCCAAGCCCCAAACCCAAGAGTCCGTCAGGGCAGCACCCTTTGCTCTTGTCCAGCACTTCACAGGGTACCTTAAATCCCCTTCAGAAAAATAAAACCAAGAAAAATCACTGATTTTTAATTTCTTCAGATTTCTTCATATTTCACCACTTAGTTATTCCTCCTTCTTTTAATCTGCTTCTGTCCTATCAAAAATGTACGAATGTAGGACCATGGCCTTAAAGATAAAAGAAGGAAAGCATGAATTTTTGGCTGGTTTTCTCCCTGTTGAAATAAAAAAGCATTCAAGACAAGGAAAAGATGCAGTTTTATCTGTGGAGTTGTTTTCTACAGCAGAATTTATAGCAGGTGTTTTTCTCTGAAAAATGCTGAACACCAGACCAACCCAAGATAAAGCAGAGATGTGAAGCATCACGGAAAGCTTTGAAATCAAGAGCAAGAAACCTCAAACAAATTTGTGGCTGAAAAACCACAAAAATGAGGAAATTCTGCTGGGGCTTTCCACCTCAGAGCATGTGCTGCTTCGGTAGCTGTGACAGCATGCAGCTCATAGGCAGAAATATTTAAATGATAAAGTATCAGAATGACTTTGAAATGTCTGGGAGGAAAAGGTTTTGAAGCACTTGGGGTTTAGGATTCAAAGACAAGTACATGAGGTGAAATTACAGAGATGAACTGGTGTCAGCAGACTTCAATATTTTCCTGTTTGGGAAAAAAATTGAAATTATTTTTATTTGCTGCCCTCTTGGCTGCCAGGTGAGATTCAGTTTTCTTCTCTGTCCCTCTCATGCAGATACTTGTGGTCATTACCATGCTTCAGCATCTCCCCAGAAAAGGAAATCTCACATGGGGGCACTGAGAAACCTCCCCCAGGGTTGAGCTGGCAGATGAATGGGAAAACCAATATTGCATCTTGTACACTGTGAGCTTTTGGTCTGTTTTATACCAGATTTTTCCGTGCTGCTGTAACACATCCTCTCCCCATTTCTGTTTAAATTAATTTCCTGCTCAGAGCGGGTTGCTAGCTGCAAAACCCTTGCCACAAAACACTTACCTGCTAAACTTCAGGGTGGGCTGAATTGCTCCTTAACTCTTTCCTGGCAGGAGAAGGCAATTTTAGAGTTTTCAAACCCATTTCAGTGCTTTAAGCTCTTGTTTCCAGAACTGAGCCCTTGATGTGGGTTGCAGCAACACTTGCCTCTGCTGCCCTCACCTTCTGCTCACCTGTCCCCTTTTGTTTCACATCACCCTGAGATTGGGCCCTCCCTAGAATGAAGTGAAACATTTCTTTTTATTGAGATGGGGTGGCAGGGAGTGCTTGTTATGAGAAATGCCACAGCAAGGGAATTTTCCCTTCATCCCTGTGCTAAAGTCTGTGGGGTGAGCCCAAAATCCCCAGCTGCTGCAAAGGCTAAATCCCTCTTTTCCCACTTCTGCTGTCACCTGGAGCAACTTCTGGCTTCCTGGCCAGGACAAGAGTTTTTCCCAGAGGTGTTTCTGCCACCATTACAACCTTGGATATGGGGGTGTTACACTGGGCTGACTCCCCAGGACATTATAGCAACTTTTGAGAAAGCACAATATATGAAATGTAAAAGCATGGTGTACTGGAATATAGGTTAAATATAAATTTTAAAAATTGCTGTTTATGCTCAGTGGAGCTGTTTACCAGTGGCCAGGCTGTTCTCAGGACTGGCTGTTGTTCCTACAAGAAAACATTTTGGAGGAGGGAAATCTTTGTCTGGCATCAAAGCTCTGACAAAAATCAAAGCGCTGTGTGAACGTGCAGGAGGCAGCTGCTGTTTGTAACCTCCCCACATTGTTTGGGGCTGCTGTCCTGGGAAGGAAAGGGGAGGAAAGAAGGGTGTGAGTTGATGTTATCTGTTCACACAAGCAAGATTTGCTGGTGACCTTGCTGAGGAATAGCAGCTCCTCTAATCACCACTGTTTGGCTCACGGCTGGGCAGTGCTGGGGGGGAAATTGTTGAATTTTGGTGTATTTGTACTATGTAGCTGCACAATTTCCAGGGGAATTTTATCCTTTTTCTGAAATTAAAGAAAACCATCCCTGTCCCCAGCCCAGTTATGTCCCCTGTGAACTCATCCTAGTGGGAAACAGCCCCTCTTCTTTTTTCCAGCCTGTGTCCTGCCCACCTCACCATGCTGAGAATAATTTCTGGTGCTTTCACCAGATTTTCTGCATTTTTTACTCTTTCTTTTCCCCCTCTTATGAGCTTCCTACAACAAAGTGTTTGTTTTGGGGGGTTGGAGCAAAGCACTGGTGTAGAAGAACAGGGTTTAGAGCCAAGAAGCAGGACCTGGCTGGGGTTTCATATCTGTGAAACTCCCATGCTGCAGAGGAGGTTAATTGCAGCTGGGCTGTAAATGCCTGGCTAGAGAAAACAGCTACTACAAAAATAGAGGAAAAAAGTCATTCTCTCTGTGCTTTTGAGGTTAGAAGGATTGATTTTGGGGGTCAGGGAAGGCTGCTCAGCCCCCAGGCTAGTCCAACAAAGTATGTAGAAATAGGGGCTGCTCTGGGGGCAAAGGGGTGCAGGATTGAAACTCCTGGGGCTCCAGCAGCTGTGAACACTTTTTTTTTTCTTTTAATTTTTTTTTTAATGGTTTTATTCTAGTGGAGAGTTTAGTTTCTGGAATATTTAATTAGAGGTAAAAGCAGTAATGAAAATGATAGCATTTTCACTGAGTGAGATGATTGGTACCTTTTTCTGAGTGTAATAGCAGAAAAAAATCACCCCAAAACCCCAAAACAAGTGGGCCAAATTTTCTAAACTTCTCCAAGCTAAGATGTGGTTTGTATGGTGAGGTGGGGGGGGTCCATCTGCTTTTGCAAGTGCAGATTTACTGCTGCAATTCAGCTGATGCAATATCACAGCTGAGGCTCCTGACATCTCATGGGGTAACCCCAAGGTCCATGTCAGTGTATGATGAGTTGGGCTGTGGCACAGAAAAATGCTGGTTTTAAAGACCAGATGCCAAAATGGATCTAAACGATGATTTGTGTGAATTTTCCTGTCATTTCATCCCTCCCTGGCTTAGATAGATCTGTGCTTGAGGGTGGTTTGGCAGGAATGTGTTTGTTACAAGTGTCAGGTGTGAGCTTCATGTGTGATCTCCTCTCTATGCCCAGGTGCCAATGGGGTGTGCAGTAAATGAGGGGGCCAGGGGGGGATCTGGAAGGATGGACAGCCAGAGGACAGGCTCCAGCTCTCCCTCTTCAGGACATTTGGTGCAAGCAGGAGTTTAGCGTGAGCCATGATAATCCTGGACCTCCCCTAACAGATAAGGGGCAGTGCAGGTGCTGCCGTGTGATCTCAACTTCCCTAATCAGTATCAAAGAGGATAAGGAAAGACAAGGAAAGTGTCCTTGGGAAGGCAGCACACGGAGGAGGAAAAGGCACCAAGGAAGTAAACACAGGTGTCACCAGCCCCAAACAACGACCTGCCATGGCTATAAAAATCACCAGGCTGCCACCTCGTCACCACCTTTACCTTAAGGGTGCTGGATCTGCTGGATCTCTGCAGAGACCATCTCCAGACTCCTGGGACTGCCGGAACGCTCAGCCGAGGATTGGTGAGATCTCATTATTGGGCTCCTACTCCGTCTCTCCTTTGCTTCACCCGCTCCCACATCCCACATCCCTTCC